CTAGATAACATCTTCAGTGGTGTTTAGTGGATGTCTGTGTCAGTGTTCTACTTTTTATAAGGGCCTCAGGCATGAGTGTGTCAAGTGAGGGTCTTGTGATGGGGAAATTATAACAGATCAGGGTCATTGGAAGGTGAACTGCTGGGGACAGTCAAATGCCACGATCTCAATTCTCTAATAGCTACCCACACTGACATCAAACAATGCCAGTTCAATTGGAGCAACACTAAAATCATTGGCCATGCTATCGCCCACCATGCTCAGGAGTTCATTGAAGCCTGGCACTCCACTAGCAATTCCATTAACAGGCATACTGATCTACAACCAGCATACAAACCCCTCAGAATCCAAATCATTCGAACAGCCATCCAGGGACAGCACCAACCCTCAAGCCCCCCCCTCCCCTTCCAAGTCACCTTCCAATGACCCTGACCTGACATAGTCTCCCCATCACAAGACCCATTACCAGCCTCCCACTGATAACTCACTCCTGACCCACTGATAATTCACAAATCCTCCAAAAACCATGACTTCAAGTACCTCCCCACCACAAGCCTCTCTCTGATGACTCACACCTGGCCCATCACAAGACCCTCACTTGACACACATCCACACCTGAAGCCCTTATCAATAGAAGAGCCCTGATACAGACATTCTCTAAAAGCTGCTGAAGATGTTACCCAGCCTGGTAACAAAATGTTCGGAAACCAACCCACAAGTTCAGAGAACGAACCTTCACACTCATCCTATACCCGAGCTACAGTTATTCATCACCATTGCAATTTCTCTCTTGTTTACAAATTAATAGCTACATAAAACAATTGCAGGTTATATTGAAAGAGAATGACTCCATAGCTGGAGTCAATGATCTTCATGCTTTTTGAAACAGAAGCTTAAGTAATATTTTCCATCTTATTTCAACATACGCCTAGTTGTCGTTTGCATGATGCTGTACTTTTACAGCAGTTAAATAGATGATGCAACAGGATGGGTACTGCCCACCATTTTTTGGCCACTTTTAGCTACTGCCTTCTCTCCAATTCATTGTGGTGGGCAAGAAGGGGTATGACTCTTTGAAGTCATATTTACGCCTTCCTCCCATATAACCAGCAGAGCACGTTGTAGATGGTTGCCACATTGGCTAATGTGAGAAGAGAATTTCCCACATGCAACACGCAACCATGGCTGCTGGTTTTGTTTTTTTTTACAGATTTTGTCATTCTGTCCTGGTGAGTATAGGTTCATGAGGTGATTCAGGAAATGGGTGAGGGCTCCTAGTAAAAGCAGGAGGGAACTACGTGGTAGTATCCTAATATGGTTAACTTCACTAAGACTCTTTTCTCTAGGCCAAAGGCAAGTCAAAGACTGGAATCTGGGACATAGCTGTTTCACTGTGAACCTCCACAATCATTTTTTGAGCAGGAAAAATAATGATTAGCTGAACAAGAAAATAAAAGAGGAAATGATGATTTCATTTTCATACCTATGAATGGCTGCTCCCCTTACTTTCTTTTCTTTCTTTTGCAAAAGAACGATCCAAGCTGTGTAGCAAATTGGCTTCATAGACAAAGGAGGAAGTCCGAACAATCTAATCTAACAATCAAACATTTTGTTATTTAATCATAACTGTCCACTATTATACCCAAACCATGAATGTTTAATTTGATACTCAAGTTTAAATTAAAATGCTTCCGATGCATGTAGCTGAAGGCATATAAACTAGAAAAGTTAAACAGTTTGTCTTCTTGGGGAAAAAAGGCTGTTATCATTTGGTCCTCATTTTTCTTTTTTATTAGGAAATTCTGTGCTTATGCCAACATAAGCTTTTGGGCAATCTTTTGAAAAAAATAATGTTGTGGAAGAATTTATGAGCTAAAGTTACCAATAAATTAGTTACTATCTCAATACCATGATGTTTGTTCGTATTTGCAGTATTCTATAATTCAAAAGCTTGGATTAATTTTTTTAGAGAGCTATACTAAAATTCTGAAAAGAGTATTTCACAGTAGACAGAATTGCCAAACTGCACGTGGTGACTTATACAGGCAGAACCAATGATAAAATTTCTAATCTCCTCATCTAATCTCTTGATGAGGAATTGCCTGAATAGAAAAATATGATACAATTATTTATGGCTGATTTATTCAAATATGTCGCCAGAGCCACATGGGTTAACTTCAGAACAAAACAGTTTTTAATAACTTAATATGTACATGTGTGAATAAAACCTAAGCCTTCAGAAAATAAATTGTTAAGTTATAAAATGGTACAACTACAAAAAAAGAACTTTATTCCATCTCCTAAATACTTTGATTTTAGTTCTTGTGAAGACATTTTTTTAAAAAAAATAATAATTATTTTTTACTTGGTAGCCTTAATCATTTTTGAGATAGTCCTTGCTAATGGCAACAAATAAGTCTTTATATTCTAAAGCCGATGCTATAGTTCAATGCTAAACTTACTAAACTGAAACCAAGTTACAGTTGTGAATCAAAAACCATGTGGTAGAGGATCAGGACTGTGAGGCCCCTGAAGTCTGTGATATGTAGTAAGTCAGTGTCATCTTTAGAATGTATGATTAAATTATCTCTGACATATTGATTCTTGTACTTTTCTTTAATTCCAAAGTATTCTTTTTTTTCTCCTTCCGTTCAATTACATCTAATTCTTAGAGACTGCATGGACAAGTCTCTGCAGTTTTCTTGGTAAGATTTTTCAGAGGTGTTCCCTCCTTCCCAGGGCTGAGAGAGGATGACTGGCCCAAGGCGACCCAGCTGGACTCATATTGAAGGTGGGATTAGAACTCACAATTTGTGGGTTTCTAGCCTGATGCCTTCATCACTACACCAAACCTGCTCTCAAAATATTCATGTCAAGTCTCAAAAATGTGCTCTTAAATGCATTCAGAAACAAGCTTCAAGTCTGCACTAAAATTAAGTTACATTTTAAAAAAAACATTGTATGTTTTTTTTCTTCTTCTTAAATGCATTATATGTAAGATAAAAATGTTCCTGGAGGAATAAGCATATAATAGTTTCAGACAGATAAAATTGTGGCTTTCATGAAACATCCATTTCACTGATTATATTGAAATAGGAACAGACAACTCTTGGTGATTATATTTAATGAATATTATGGGGCAAGGAAGATAAGGGCTTCTTTGGTAGGACAATGGCAAAAAAAGGAAGTGAATTTTTTTCTTTAGTTTTTTTTTTTCTAGTGTGAGACCATGTGTGTAATGTCTGGCAGTTTTATTTGTGTCAGCTCTTATTTTATTCTAAAACTACATTTTCCAGGTATTTTCTACTTAGAAGCAGCAGAAAACTGAAAACTCTTGATGCGTATGGTTAAAAATGAAATTCATTCTATTTTGTCTGCTATTAAGATTCTGAAGAAACAAATCTAGAAAGTATAAATTCACAGTTAAAGTATTAGATATCATAGACCTTTCATATTTTTGTTCTGCTACTTTGACTAAAGATAATGTATTAAGATAATAGAAAAATCTTATGAATATGTTTATTTTTAGATCTTATTGGTATTGATTGAGTGTTCATGAAGCTACAGAGAATTCAAGAAATCCTTACCAGTTTTTTTTCATTTACCTTCCATGACTTCTGATGATTTACTGAACAATTCCAAGCAAGCTTATATTAAAGCAGAACATGCTTTAGATTTTCAAGGATTTAGTTCTATTTTAATCATCTGAATACAGAAGCAAAATGCAATAAATAAATACATAATAGATACATAGACTATGAAATGAGACTATGAAATGGGAGCCAGTTTGTTGTAGTGGTTAAATCAGACATGTCAAACACAAGGCCCGGGGGCCAGATGTGGCCCGCGAAGTGGTTTCACGTGGCCCACGAAGCTATCCTGGAAACAGTGAGGGAACGGCCCCCTCTGCCTTGGTCCAGGCCAGCTGGGAGCCAATGTACAATTTTGTGGTGGCCATCTAGGCTGAAACGCATTTAGTCTTAGCTCCATAAGCCGCCCCCCATGGCCTGAGAGGAACAGTGAGGCTCCTCCAGTGGACCATGCCTTGGCACTTGCCCTGGTCCCACCCCCTTCTGCCAGAGACCCTCAGATCTGTCCCACTCCTGGCCAGGCCCCCACAGGCACCCTTGATGTGAATGATGTAGAGCTGGCCACACCCAGCCAGTAGGCTACACCCACTCCATCCACGCTGACCCAGTAGGCTGCACCCACCCTGGCCACACCCACCCAGCCCCCTGAGGGCAACCGCAATGCTGATGCGGTCCTCAGTGAAATTGAGTTTGACACCCCTGGGTTAAATCATCAGACTAGACAGCGAGAGATCACGAGTTCCAGTTCCACTTTAGGCACTGACCCTGAGCCAGCCACTTTCTATTATCTCAGAGAAGAAAGAAAAAGCAAATTATTTCTTAAAATCTTTGCCGAGAAAACTGCAAGGACTAGTCTATTCTAGAATATAACAGACATAAACATAGGCTATGATTACTATGATTTAGAAACTACTATTATTCATATGAGTTACAGTTGTAACCTAAAACCTTATTTTCTAGGTTATTCTGTATCATCGGAAATCTGATAATAAAGTTGAACAAAATTGTCCTTACTATTAATTAGAAAATGTTTCAAATAGTTTAAGTATTTCCTGGAACCAAGTTAAACATAAGTGGAGGAAAATTAAGTCTATATTCTCACAATGCAATAGAAGTCATTTCTACTTACTTATGAATAATATGCATATTTTCTGTACACCATTGAAGCTGTAATCTATATATTGTACACATATTGCAACTAAAAGTAAACTGCATTGTACCCAATACAAAATTTCTTTCAAAAATCCTGACTTAAGACCAAAATATATGCATTTTTGCTACCTTTCTTCTTTCCATAGACATTGAAACTCATTGTATTAAACGTATTAATAACAGTAAATAAATTATGAAATACAGATAAAAAACTATAATATTGATGCTAATGATAACACTCGTGATTTTTCTTTTTAGTGCATCGCAATATGAACCAAGCTTGTCAAGGCGGATGTGCAACATGTTCTGAATACAATGGATGTGTGACATGTAAACCTAGACTCTTCATTTTTCTGGAGAGGATTCGCATGAAACAGATTGGGGTGTGTCTTTCATCCTGTCCTCCTGGGTATTTTGGACAACGATCCCCAGAACGAAATGAGTGTATAAGTAAGTTGACAGGATATTGCAACCATTGCTTTCTAAATGTAGCTTAATATCTGGAAAGCTTTGGATTTGAAAGCACACACACAAAATAAATTGTTGGTAAATTGACCATATAATAATAGCAGATATGAATGCTCATTTGAGCTCAGTTCAATAAGCTTGTACTATATATTTGTGTGACTTAAGTATCATAACCTGGTTTATTCAATATCCTCACATTAAAAACCATGTTTTTCCAGGGACAGCATAATGACAACAATAAATCAAGGTTTAATTAGAATCTGAAACTAAAATACAATGTTTCATAGATATTATTATGTGGGTAATCTACAGTTAGATTCACTGTCTAAGACTGGTAGAAACTTAATAATTCAAGTCCTAACCAAGGACCTAAGAATTATTAAGTTACTATCTAAGATTTATTACTATTAAAGTGTGCCTAAGATTTAATATTATTAAAAATATTGTTATTGTTATTTACATTTATTATGGACTCCCTTTCCAGTAAATTCTAATGTGTATTCAGGGGATCATCTCCAGTCATCATTGTAGTTGATGCTCTTGATTATAATAAATCCTAAGACATAAGATGGGTTTTAGAATTATTGTTAAATCTTAAAGCAGGATCAATTTAAACTTCATTTTTTATGTATTTAAAGTATTTATAAATTGTTGATTCCATAAATCTTATGGTAGTTTACAAATACATACAGTTTATAAAATACTACCCTTACAAAACCACACAAATGTGGAACCCTTCTTAAATTTGTCATTCTTACATAGAATCTTCTTTCCAAAGAATTAAATTCATCTATTTCAGCTTCACTGTATTTACTCACATCAGTTTATTTCATTCATTCATTCATTCATTCATTCATCGTGTTTCTATACCAATCCCTTAAGTGCTTCTGGGTGGTTTATAATAAGAACATGTCTGTTTGTTCTTCCTCAGATTAAAATGCATTGAACATCATCACTGTAATTTATCAAAAGGTCACTTTAAAAATATCAAAAATTAATATACAGATAGATGGAAGGGCAACTATTACAACTACTGATCAAACAGTGCCATGCATAATCTTAAACAAAATGCAAACCCTTATTTTCTCAGCACTTGGGATATATTGGGATGCTTATTTCCACAGATATTTGATCATTTAAACAATTTTTATGCACCCAGTTTTAGAAAAAAGCCAGTTGATAAGGTATCATAAAATTTTATCAAAAGGCATAATTAGATTTTTGGCTAGACCATACATACACACACACACACACACACACACACACACACCAGGTAGGGGATCGAATGTGACCAGGAACTGATTGGTTATTTATTGTACTTCAGAATGTAAAGCTGATTGTGAAGCCTGCTTTAATCAAAATTTCTGCACGAAATGTAAAAATGGATTTTACTTACACCTTGGAAAGTGCCTTGAAAATTGCCCTGACAGGCTGGAACCCAACAACCACACTATGGAATGCAATGATATTGGTAAGTATATTGCTTATGCTAACAACTTTATCCAGTAAATACTTTCCAGGTGAATACTGTTTTGCTACTGTTGGCTCTCTTGTAAAGGCAGGCAGTTTAAAGTTAGCAGGAAAGAGCATCACACAGTATGTTTTACAAAGTAAAAGATGTTTCTCTTTATATTTTAGAATTTTGAACCTCAGAGGGATTAAAGGGAGCAAAGTGAAAAAAAAAACCCACTGAAAACCACAGGAAGTATTATTTGCCCAAAATATTCTGCTCCAGCTTTCTCTTTACTCATGCTAGGAGTGGTTTTGTATAGAATATTTTATTATTATTTTCAGCCCAGAGCTTCATAGTAAGGGACCCATCCTTAGCTGAATTAAGAGGCCTCTTTGCTGGTGCAATGCAATGATATAGTCATCATCCTACTTATTGTCCTACTTTTGCACTGTCCAGTACGTAGAAAAGTTCCAAAAATCACAATGCAATTTACAAGACAACAATATTGTCTTTAGATCATTTCCACTAGCAACTCATAGCCAGCAGTTTTCAAACTTCTTTAGGCCACATGTTAGTTAAAAAGAAGTCCTGAAATTCCTGATTAAGAGACAAAGCTTTAATGATAGAAAACTGGTTGTTTTTAAAATTTTTGTTGGTTTGTTTCAAAATCTCTGACTCCTATGGTCCACAAGATCCTTTATTGTGCTAAGAACAGATTTTATATTACTTCGGTGATTGCTGGGTGATGCTATAAAGAGGTTGCATGTCACCAGTGGGAAAATGAGCACTGAACAAATAAGAACTGCAGCCATATTTGAGTAAAAGAAAAAGGCTCTTGAGAAGGAGTAATTCAAGATGATGCAAATGTATATAGAGATACTTTTTTCCTGTCTATATTTAATTTCATATCATGTTTTTGTTACAGTGCATTGTAAAATTAATGAATGGAGCCAGTGGAGTCCTTGCACAAGGAAAGGAAAAACCTGTGGTTTCAAAAGGGGAAATGAAACAAGAGTCAGAGAAATCCTACAGCTTCCTTCAGTAAAAGGCAAATTATGCCCACATACAAGCGAAACAAGAAAATGTGTTGTACAAAAAAAGAAATGTCAGAAAGGAGAAAAAGGTACATATATACACACATATATATATATACACACACACACACATACACACACACACACACACACACATACATACACGATGTGTTTGTATTGTTGATTTATGCCTTTGCCTCTTTGCCTCTTTGCCTTTGCCTCTTCCAGCAAGCAAAAATATTTTTTGTTTTTGCCAAAATACCTTAGAATCATATTTTCTCTTTATACTACTGTACAAACATGGTGCCATAGCTTAGCATGCAGACTGTAAAAGAGTTTCCAACAGTTAATTGATGTGTTTTTCAGTTATTTGTTGGCTACACTGGAAACAGCATCATTTGCTGTTTAAAACTTTATGCTTTAATTTTTTTTTCAACCTTTTAAAGTATGTGCATTTTTGCAACGTTCACGTTCTTTTAATGATTACATACTTCAAAGAACCTTACATTTACCGGCTAAAATGCAAATTTCAAAGTAGGTTGCACTCAATGATTACAGTAAATGAATATTAACTGTTTTATGATATATTTCAATTTTATTTCATTACTTAACAGCAATTCAGCTATATGAAGTTATCTTATGTGATATGCCTGTGTATCTGCTTACAATTAATAAGTTTTTGTTAAATACTATTGGAAAACATGATGCAATCAAGCTGTAAAATATCATTTCTCACTTGCCTTCCAGGAGAGAGACTATGCATAGAAGGGACTCTGTATACATGTAACAACTCTTTTTGATGTACAATGCCACATTGGATTTCACTGTGTATAGTATAGGACAAACAATTTTTAGTACTGACTAGTATTGACAATTACAGGTAGTGCTCGGCTTATGATCACAGTTGAGAAGAGAATTTCCGTTGCTAAGGCAGGCAGTTGTTAAGGGAGTTATCCAATTTTATGTTGTTGATGTTTTTTGCCATAGTTGTTAAGCAAATTTCTGCAGTTGTTAGGTAAATCCAGCTTCCCCCATTGACGTTACTTGTCATAAATTGTCTGGGAAGGTCACAAATGGTGATCGTGTATCCCAAAATCTACAACTGTTGTAAACACATGCTGGTTGCCAAGTGCACAAATTTTGACAGCATGACTGTGGGGATGCTGTGATGGTCATAAATGTGAGGATCATTTGTAAGTCAATTTTTCAGTGCCGTTATAACTTCAAACAGTTACTAAATGAATGTTTCTAAGTCAAGGATTACCTGTATACCTGTTAGGTCATCATTTCTGAGAAATAGATTGCAAATAGCTAGCTGGTCAAAAATTGTATTTGAAATGTTGGGATCTCATGGGTTGCCATTTGAATCCAAATTCTTTTCCCTGAAAAATATAATTGGTTGCTGAATATTTTTGCATGACAACTGAAAAGTAAACAAGTGCAGATCAGAAAGTGGATCACTACTGTCTTCTGCCACTCACCACAAATTCTTATACATAGCAAAAGGTTTGAGTGCACCTATCATAAATTAAATATACTTCTCAATTTGAATAATCTCTGAACTAAAGCCCTAGGCTAAAGAAGATGCTTCTTTGCTAAAGATGAAAAGGGAGAGAATTTTATTCTTAGACTTTCTGCCGTTTCAGCAAATCTAACAAGATTTCTTTAAACACAAGATTTAAATATTTAATATTCGCTGCATGAGGCTTCACCATAATCCCCACAAACCCAGTATGAAATGGAAGTCTAAAATGGGTAGGCAATCTTGGCTCTTTTATGACTCGTGGAATTCAACTCCTGTAGCTGGCTCAGGAATTCTGGGAGTTGAAGTCCACGAGTCATAAAAGAGCCAAGGTTGCCTACCTCTGGTCTAGAATGTACCAAGTGCTATCTTACAGGTGTAATAGAAGGATACTAATAAAGAAAAGGCTATCTTTCAAAAAGCTATTATTTCTGATTGTATTGCTCAGAAACTATAATACCCAGATAACTCCAGGAACATATGAAAACCATTAATTCATTTATTATAATACAGCAAAATGATATTCTTAAATGACAGGGCAAATGTAAATACGTAGAATAGAAAACGTCCAATTAACCTTCTGCCATTTGTAAACCCAGGACAGAGAGCAGAAACTTAAGTACACTAATCTATATTCTTCTGAAATTCTGCCTGCATTTTTCTATTTCTATGGATATCCCTTAGAGTATGATGGGCAAGAATTTTAATTTGGGACTATAGAAGGTAACCCTAAGTTGCTTTTTCAAGAGGCAACTGGACTTTCTTGTATTTCTTTGAAGACATTTTGCTTCTCATCCAAGAAGCTTCTTCAGCTCTGACTGGATGGTGGGGAATGGAAGGATTTATATGCCTTGCAGACAGCTGGTCATTTGCATTTGTCTTCAAAGAAAAACAAGAAAGTCCAGTTGCCCCTTGAAAAAGCACCTTTGGGACAACCATGACCTGGACAACTGAGAATATCTGTAAACACATAGAAAGGGATTGAAGGAGCTTTTAATTCTGCAGACCCAAAGCTATCTCAGTTTGCCACCATAGGTGGGATTTTGGATTCAGTCTGTATCCTTAGCAGTATTACTGTGTCTACAGAATTTTCTACTTCATTGGAAGAGCACATCTTCATCATGGCAGACACAATTCCACCCTTCCAGACCAGCAGAAGGAGATTAGGATAACTTTTTGTTATGTTTAAATCATGTCTTTGAAATCATAGGAACATCCATACAATGAAAACATGAAGAAGTATAGTAATACAATAAATGTATTTTAAACTACAGCAGTTGAGTCTTTTGTTTAGAGCAGAGGTTTCCAACCTTTCTGGGCTCGAGGACCAGAGGGAAGGAGAGCAGCTTCAAAATTGGCATGTGTGAATGCATGCGCATGGAACCACACACACTGGTGCAGCATTAGCAGCCCCATTCATGCATGCAGCATGTGCTGGTGTCTTGCACAAGCATAAATGGCCACGCATCCCCCATGGCAGCTAGCAGCCTGTTCATGCATGCGCAAACAGGCCACACAAACTGCCCAGGCTAGTAGCGCATGCGCAAACGGGCTGCAGACACCCGCTCTGTGCTACCATTCCCATTCGTGCCCGTGCACAGGTACAAATAGGGCCACGGTGCTAGTGCAAGTGGGGGGGGGGGAAATGCACACCCATGCATGCGTGCACCAGCCAGCCATTTCCATGGCCTTCTGGCCAGCCATTGCCCGGGCTACGGACTATAGGTTGGGGACCCTGGTATAGAGAATCCAGTAGGATGTCCTTTGAAGTTTTCTAGAACAGGGGTTCCCAACCCCCGGGCCGTGGACCGGTGCCGGTCCGCAGCATACCAGCAAATGGGCCGCACAAACAAGCAAAGCTCCATCCTCGGGATGCAGGCAGTATTCAAAACCACACCCACTCTGGTCCGCAGAAAAACTTTTTTCCATGGCACCGGTCCCTGGTGCCCAAAAGGTTGGGGACCTCTGTCCTAGAACACTCTTGAATTAAATTCCAATAGCCCAACCATTCATATAACTGTATTTCTACGTAATAACAATGTGATATAATATAAACAGACTTAAATTATTAATATATTAAATTAGGTGATTTTATTTACTGTACATCTACTTAGACACCACCCAGATGCAGACATCATTAAAAGGTAACACAAAGAAAAATAAGCTACTTATTAATTTTTTCTTCTCTGTTCATTTTCCTCTATTTATAATCAGAGTATTTCTAGCAGTAATTAACATTTGAAGACACATTGTGAGGCCCATTACAAGGAGAAAAAGCTGGAAGTCTTAAAAAGTAGCTTGCTCATTATACTTAGCTTTTATTGTTTCACGCTTATTTGTTAATAAGCTATTAATTGCATAGTAACACATTGTATGTTAAATCATGATCATAGTATTGGGTTTTGGCTTGAAATAATCTGCTGCTGTTAGCCAGTTTGAAATCATGTTTTTATTGTATTATAGTGATTGCAACAGCAACTTAGTGTGATGTACAAATAAGGTTGCATAGTTTCTTTGCAGATTCTTGGCTTGTTCCTGATTGGATTTATGCCATATCCACTTAATCAGAAGAACAAGGCAAAAAAAAAAAAACCAAAACCCACAACACTCCTAAACAAAATATTAAAAATAAAACTGAAATTGGCCAAACAGGCTTGTTCTTTAGTTCTGGTTTCATCAAATAATGGCTAAATAAAAGTTAACTAGAGGAACATATGAACTTTCTGCAGCCTTTGCAATTTTCGTCCATTGCAGTATCACACTGCAAGCTCCACCTTTAGGGCAAGCAGGTTACCTCATGATGCACATAGACAAGGGGCTGCCATCACTCGCACTCTATCACTCTGATCCCATGTTCGCTACTGACTCAACTTATAAACAAGGACCTATATGCCATGACACAGCATATAGTGGGAACCCTACAAGTGGGAATGTAAGGAGTTTATTTTGTCCTAAGCTCTAATGCATCTTTCATAACCCTTGCAGAAATGGCAATATTGTATTTTGCAATCGAGAATAAGGTTGTTAATCCGTTCAGATATATTATATTTATAAATAGGAAGATAAAATATTTCACTCCCAGAAAATAAATATAAAGCTTTGACATGCTGCAATAAATAAGAAAGTAAGTATATAAAATTCCTTAGGGACTCTGCAGCTGGAGCATACCATTGATGCATGATTCTCTAGCAGCAGCCTGTGAATGACACCATTATAGTTATTGTTAATGCTCTTTCTTTATAGTTATTCTTCAGGCTGTAGAGGATTCAAAACTAACATGAAAGTAATGATTGTATCTTAATGTTGACATTTTACCTACACTGCTGGGTCATAACTTGGATCTGTAACTGTATTCTACTTCTACAAACGATTCGTTAAGTATTGAGCTTTTAATTGTTTTTTTTCCCTGCCACCAAATCTTCTTACTGCATTTTTTTTTTTTACTTTCTCTTGCAACGAAAATGGCCAGTGGTGGGATTCAGCCAGTTGGCATCACTTCGGCAGAACCGGTAGCTAATTTTTGTTGCCCAGGCCCAGAATGGACGTTCGGAAGTGGCATCCACACAG